ATATAGTTTTTATGTATTTCTATGGTTGCTTCATATTCTGTGAGACGTGACACTGAATGCTGCTGCCACACGGGGCAGTAGTGAGCTCCCTACCTGGAGTTTACTCAGCCCGTGAAGAAGAGAACACTTGGTGTTGATCTCGGGTCAAATCATCCGGTGACGTCTCTCCGCATTTTCAACGTCCTCTCGTCGCTTCACCGGGACGTGATTGAATCCGTTCACCGGCTCTGAGTCACGGTTCCTCCGCTGTCAGTCCGCTCACCGATCCTCCGATGGCCTCCAGGCGGCCGGACAGCTTCGATGGACTCGGCTACCGGGGCCGCGATGACCCGCTGTATGGAGTCAGCTACCCGGTCAGGAGCGCCGGAGCCCCCGCGGAGCTTCAACACCACCACTGGGTCACAACGCCACCGGACATCCCCGGCAGCCGCAACCTGCACCACGGAGAGCGGACCCCGCAGTGCGAGGACCCACTGGCGGAGCGCGGAGGCCCCGGATCTGCAGGTGGATGGGAGGCTCCGCAGCCCGGAGTACCGCCTGTCGGTAGGTCGGTGCGTTAGCTCCCAGGCTAACAGCTACATAGCTTAGTGCACATTTCTCATACGCAGATTTGAGCTAGCATGCTAACACGACAACAAGGACAACTGACCGGGAGTAACGTGTCACAAGTTCCTGGTCTGTGTGAACACAGTGATCCATGAAGTAAAACACCTCCAGACTGATTCTACTGCGCAGAATAACTGTTGATGCTATTGACGCATTCAGTTATATTTGAATTCTGATGTAAAGTTTTGATAAAGAGGAAACAGATTCAAATAAAATCAGTTTCTGTCTCAGTGTGAAATGTTCCGTAGAAATAAAAAGGTTTTCTTGTGTTTTCAGAGCAGCTGAACAGATTTGCCGGCTTTGGAATCGGACTGGTCAGGTTGGAAATTAATTAATTTACTGGTAGTTTGTTAATTGAGCACATGTGAGAGGTGACAGCTGATTTCAGAATAAAAGCAGTAAAGAAGGTGTGTGTGTGTGTTTTCAGTCTGTTCACAGAGAACGTCCTGGCTCATCCCTGCATCGTGCTGCGCAGACAGTGTCAGGTTGGTTCATCTTCTCCCCTGTCAGCTGATTCGTGTCTAATGGAACTTATCAATATCATTTATCGTTAATTCAGGTGAACTATCACGGCCGCTGTTACCACTTGACTCCGTTCACTGCTGTGGCCGTTATGTACGCCATCACCAAGGCTCAGGTGAGAAACCTGCTCCTCAACAAGCTCACGTTGAACTCAGAAATATCATGTAAACTCCAGATGAAGCATCTCAAACAAATATTAAAATCTATAAAACAATCATTAATATTTAACTATCAAAATAAGAATACAAATAATATTAGAATAATTAGATCCTGGAATCAAACGATCAAATCAGTGATCAATAATCTGTCATTGATATATTCAGGGTCCGAAGGCTCTGTGGAAGGGGATGGGCAGCACCTTCATCGTTCACGGCATCACACTGGGAGCTGAGGGCATCATCAGCGAGTTCACACCATTACCACGGTAACCATGCACGAGTACTGTGCTCTTACTGTATAGTTGCTGAGGCTTCGTGTCACATGACCATGTATGTACACTGGCCGTGTGGTCAATGTGGGCGGAGTCTGCATGTGTGTTTACAGTGTGTGTTGTCGACAGGGAGCTTCCTCATCGGTGGAGCTGGAAACAACTGGCGGGACATTTGCTTCTTAAAGGGTCAGTTCACTTTCTTTCTCCTTCTGAATTATTCTGAAAAACTTCCTGTTTTCTTCGTGGATCAAAGCTGCTGATCGGTCTGTGATGTTTGATTTTGCCTGATTGAAAGTGACTCTTGTCGTTTCTTGGCCGCAGGTTAACAGCTGTGGTGGCGCTGCCATTTTACTGTTCCAGCCTCATTGAGACGGTCCAGGTCATTATTGATTATTATTTATTGACCTGTGTTTAAGTTTCTATTATTTCCTCTGTGGTCTGTTTTTAATTTATTCATTATTTGGTCCGAACATGTTATTGTCCCGATGACCTTGCGTCTCATCCTCAGAGCGAGATTGTACGTGACGACTCTTCATCGGGTTTGCTCGACTGTGTCCGTGAAGGTCTGGCCCGATTGTTGGGCGTCGGAGCTCCTCACAGTCATCGTCTGCTTCCTCTCAGCTCTCTACTGCTTCCTGCCGCACTGCATGCTGTCCTACGATATGCTATCGCCGCCTCTGTACAGCGTGTGGTTCTGTGGCTGCACCATCGGAGCAAGAAGCAGCGAATGGATCCGTCCAACCCGCTCGACGGCTACTTCCCAGAGCTGGCAGCGGCGTGGGCTGGGTCTCTTGTGGCTGACGTAGTGGTGTTCCCTCTGGAGACTGCGCTACACCGTCTCAGCCTGCAGGGCACGCGCACCATCATTGACGCCACTGACGGCGTGGTGGCTGCAGGAAATGGTGGCAGCCCATTAGTCCTCCCTGTCAACACGCAGTACGACGGCTTCTCCGACTGCCTTCACGCCATCCGCCGCAAAGAGGGGGTGAGTGGCTATTACCGCGGGTTTGGAGCACTTGTGGCACAGTACGCGCTCCACGGAACGCTGCTCGCTGCTGCCAGGACTCTGCTGAGGCTGTTGCTGCTGGACGGTAAGCACAGCTAGGAGTTGCCATGGAGATGCAGCATCACCACCCACAGAGGTCATCTGGTGAGATGGTCTCATGGACTTTGTGTCACCGTGGCAACAGAAAGATTAAGACTTTAAATTTAAAATACCAAACATGTTGTTCATTCGTTACATTTAAAGGAGCAGGTCAACTCTCCTGTAATTCAGCACTATGTGAGATGTTTGCGGCACTTCCTGCCTTCAAAGTAAATGTCTCTAAGGAAACACCGTGTCACTTTCCGACCCAGCATGAAGTCATGACCCTGTGTTTAAATACTGACAACTGATTGGTTCCCTGCTGTGTGTAAAGATGAACTCTTTATTTGTATAAAGTTGTAAAAATGAATTAAAAGTAGATTTAGATTAAATTATGTGATTAATAAATATATAAAATTATTCAAAAAATATTCAAAGCAACAGCTGAACTCTCTCACACACACACACACATAAATA